CGCATTTCACTCATCTTGGTATATGATGGCAGCAAGCCTTGTGTGGTCATATGCCTTACAGTTGTGGCAATGGACAATTTCTCTCTTAGTGTAAGGTTTTTCAACCTTAACACTTGTGTAATACAATCTTTTAATTTCATATATTTTATCTACTACTGCAGAGCGTTCCAAGTCAACAAAAAATAGAGGTAATGGAATCTTTCTATTTTCCCCGGAGTCATCTCTGTTCCGAACAGAGAATGGATAATTTGGAATGGGGAACGTTCCTATTGTTATAAAACCAACAGTACACAATAAATAACAACTGTACTTACAGTAGAATTAGTTTATGTTTTGGTATAGGTGATTAACTGACGTCTTGACACTGTTTTAATTAAAACTAACACTATTTTTCTAACGAAAAATGAATATTTTTAAGAGCTGAAGTACGGGTCGACTGATACAATCCACCGCATGCGCAGAACTCCAATATTTTTACTGAACCCTAAAATTTTATAACCCTATAACAATATTGTAATAACCAAACTCCCACTCCATATGATCAGTGCCTCCCACAATTCATAGCAATTATATTGTTAACAATCATTTATATTAATTTGGGCATGTCGCAGAGTTTTATATCCAACAGTTTTTGTGACGATATACGTGGAGCTTGTTGCCGGGCGTTGTCATGTAACATAATGGACGCCTTCAGATTGACCAATGATGCCTTCATTATTACCAATTTCTGATGCATTGCTTTATTAATTTGGTTACAAGACGATTCGGCATCAATATTGTTTTTCAGGATTTTAAAAGCTGTATTGTTTCAAACCAAATGAAGCCGATTAAACAGTAACCATCACCTTTTTTGATGAATTAGGAGCTTTGGAAAATGTTTCTCCCTTGTCGAGCCACTGTCCAGAACTTCTACTGTTAAAGCAAAGTATCCACTTTTCATCATAAGTAACGATTCCGGACAGAAAAGGGTCGTTTTTTAATGCTGCTTTCGCTCCAGACTTGATTGATGTTTCTGACGGTCTGGGTCTCATTTCGGCCGCTTTTAAACTCATTAAACAAAATTATACGAAAATCACGCGTAGACAACTTAGAAAAAACTGAATTATTTATAAGCAGCGAAATGCAACAGAGAGAAATAAACATTATCGTTTAGATAAGGATTAATAAGTGTTGACATTCATACAAATTAATAATCCAGTAAAACTAAACACTTTATTATATAGAGGATTATTTTAAAGAAAAATCAAAATCCTGATTTTTTTTCCGGGAACCTAATAATTATAATATGGTATATACGTTTACGATTCTGCCTAATCAAGGTATTCGTTGATATACGAAAAATCTTCGGCTGTCAGTTATTAGTGTGTTTGGATTGGCATAAAGGTCATGACATTTTTTTCTTTATACTGTTAGTCTGCTTAAATTAATAAACAAGAGAGTTCCATCTTGTTTTCCTTGATCTTTATAAGGAATAACCTCGAACAATGTGGATTACTTTTGCAATATTACTTTTAACCATAACACTTCTGTGATGCTCCGTTAAACTTGGAAATTGTTTATATCAACTGTGCATGTCCATTGAAGCACATAACTGAATTGTATATTATTGATATATTTGGAGAATAAGCAGTATAACAAGTGTCGATGTCATTACCTTCGGTAGTGAGGAAGCATTGTATTCGTGCGAGGTTAAAAAAAAATGTGTGCTAAGAATCGAAAATGTCTCGCGTTGTACGTTTCAGACACGAAGGATCAAATTTGGTTCGGTGTCCTGTCTGTCTGTAGACAAACCGATGTAACGGGCATATCACCTACTACCGTTTATCCGATTTTCATAAAATTTTCAGGAATATGCGGGTTAGTGTTTATATGATCCCATATCAATTTTATTAAATTCTAACCATCACTTCCGCTTACGCACGCTCTAACACATTTTTGTGGATACGCCAATATTTCAGAAACGGTTCATCAATTTGGCTCAAAGTAGAATAAAAGGTACCACCAGCGGATCCAGGATTTAATTTTTGGGGAGGGGGCTTCAGCCCGAAAGATTTTTTTTCATATATACAACGATAATCAATTTGAAAAAAAAAAGAAGAAATGAACTACCTATATGAAATGGCATTTAAGCGATTCTTGAAGTCCTATTAAATGTAATTACACGAACAATAATACTTTAAGAGATAGTTTTTAGTATTTTTTTCTATCAAACATGGTTATATTTTACGGATTTGGGGGGGCTTCAGCCCGAAAGCTCTCGTAAAAGGTACATAATTGCGAAAAAATAATGTAGGGTCAATTTTATTGATTTCTGTTCATTGCTTTCTCTTCTATATCCGCAAACGTGTTTTTCTTGATACATCTGTATCTGCTGTAAACCTGCAAGTTTGAATTGGCTCAAATTTGGAGAGAATTTAGGGATTAGTAAAAGTAAAATAAAATAGGCACCAATTTTATCAAATTATATATATCTAATACTAAAAAAAAAAAATTACTTCCCTTTCAGATCAGGAAATGTATTATTTGATATGGCAATATAGTTTGAAAATGGCACATCGATTTGACATAAACTTGCAGAACAGTACCGTATTTAGTATCAATTTCATTGAATTCCATTTAATATAGATAATTGTTAACAATATAATGACTGTGAAATGTGGAAGGCACTAATCAAATGGCGTGGGAGTCAGGTTATTACAATATTGTTATGGGGTTATAAAAGTTTAGGTTTATTTAAAAACTTATACTGTATTGTTTGGTCGATTACAAACGTTACTTAGATTTTGTTTAATTTTCAGTAAATTTAAAGTAATTTTTACTCTGAATTTGTAAAAAAGAAAAACTTATTTGTGATTGTTTACTTCCATTTCTAGATGTCAGACTTAACTTCATGCCAATTAAATCCATTTGCAAAAGACCCACCGTCAGAACTTAACTTGTTATTCACATATTATATTTGTGATGGTGTTTATTTACATTGTTCAAACAGCTCATCGTGGTCTCGATTTTCTGCTTAAATATCTAAATTGTGTCAACTCTTCTCATATTTTTAAATTCTAGCTTAATTGTTTTTTTTTCTGATTGAAGATAAGTATTGTCCTCGTTGACTTCGAACAAACAAAAAGCTGAATTTTTCCTATGGATTTTTTGTTGCTTCCATTTTACGAGTGGAAACATACCTATTAAGTATATTTCACTACTGTTAGTGCTAAGGTCGTATGTAAAAGTTTTCAATTTTTATTCTATTTTTGACATTATGTAGTCTGCAATTGACATAAGTAGCTATGAAAAATAGCAGAGGGCAATAATATATAAAATTATACTAATGTCATAAATAAATAATTAGTTCTTAGGCTCTCCTGTAAAACTATCAAATTTTGCATGCGTCATTTGCACTAACAGTAGCGAAATACATATTCAGTATGCAATTTTTAATTTTTTTTAATTATGGCTTATCAAATATGCAATCTGTAAATGCGGAACTTTCATCACAAGCAGTTACCAAGTGATTAAAATGTGTGAAAATTCTTCTTGCTTTGGTAATAACCTCTATTATCGTTTTTTTTTTTTTTTTTCAAAACAACTCTTGACATTTTGTTAGAGCGTCGGCGATCTTTTTATTTATATTGGCGGCGTTATCTGACAACCACGGGTGAACTTGGGTCATAATTCAATTTCCTTTGATATAACAGAATCATCTAATAGTAAATTATTCTATTTACGAAAATTATTGAAAATAGGGCGTTTTCAATTTGGAGATCGTCAAGCTTTGCCTATTTAAATAGGAATTAAAAACTCGTAAATACCCATTTGAACCCTAGGATAATATGAGCACAAACTCGAGAAAAAGATGGCCTACAAAAATATTGAACCATTTGGTATGACCTACACCTACAAAATAACGAGGTTGTACATGCCAAATGGTACAATATTTTTGCAGGCCACCTTTTTTCTTGATTTTTTTGCTCAAATTATCTTACAGTTCAAGTGAAAAGCACAGGTTTTTATGAGTTTTTAGTAGTGAATATTAAACAGACAAAGTTTGCCGATGTTTAGATTGAAAACACCCCACATCCAAGAGTCTTCGTAGTTGTGGGTTACGATGAGATTAAGGTATTGACGAAGTCTCAGGCGTGTATAAATAATTTGATAAAGGGTTCTGTACAGCGGACTAGTATGGCAATAGTACAGGATATCCGTTTAGAAAAACAACCAAAACTGCGCTAAATGTTAGAAATAGACACTGTAACTAAATTAGAAATAGATCCCATCGGCCTGTTAAGTTAGTTGAATTAATTAGTGTCTGAATCAGTGTATGGGTTTCACTTATGTGGCCCTAACCTCAATTAGGTTCATGAAATGTACACTTTAACATACAAATTAGTTTTCCACAGCCAGTGAAAATCACATTTATCTTTATTTCTAAAAAAAATATTAAGATTCCTGTATGAGACCTTTCTAAAGACTGCATTATAATCCAGTAAATTCTGATATCCATAATTTTCAATAAAGATGAACTGAGTGGATGTCCAAAATTGTATGTCATCTACTAGTTAGCTGCAGATAAATTGGGAAGGGTATCATAAATATTTCATATCACCTCAAAAGTGAATTGAGTTCTTAGGTTTAATGAGTGTGTGCAGGTTTAACTACATATTCATAAATATTTGTATAAATTAAATTTATTTCATTTAAAGTGTACAGAATTTTAATTATTACATTAATATAAATATTATTTGAAAAATTGTCAATAAAATAATTGAGGAAAAATAAAATGAAAAATGGATAAGGTACTGAATAAATCAAAATTTATATTAAAATATATTTATCATTTAAGAATTGATAGTACAAGCAAATATCTTCAAAACATACAACCTATTTCTGGAATATATCTTCTTTAAGGATTTACATTAATCAATCTACACCCAAGTTATAATAGCCAACAGACGTGCTTCGCACAACTGTATATCTTCTTATCAAATGTCCTTCCATATTTCATTAAAAATTAAAAAAAAAAAAAAATTATATTTAACATTATCTTAAATGTTAATCATTAGAAGACCGAAGGTACAATTATATTTCATTTAATAAAACATTTTCAATATAAATAATAAAATAAAAAAGGGGAAATGAAATGAAATTTCAATTAAAAAACAGCATGTGAAAATGTTCTATTTAATAAATATCAACATTCATTATAAATATAAAAAAACATTCATATCTCAAAGAGATAAAAAAAAGTATAATCTCATATAAAAAATAACCTAATGAATCTAACAACAAAATTAACAACTATTATATTTAATATTTGATGGATCACAACAATAACCCCACAAATCAATCTCACAATAAATTCAAGTTACCTACCTTCTTTCATCAATTTTCAAAATTAACAAACAAACTACGTTTCCTTATTAAAAACACACTACAAAAAAAAAAAAAAAAAAAAAAAAGAAAAATTATATTTAATGAATTTGTCAATATCATTCATCCTTTAATTAAAGCTACGATATTTTCGAAGTAAAAAATCATTATAAACAACGCGGTCATGTACATATATAAATACTTACACACAGATTTTTTTTATTTTTTCCCTAACTACTAAATATACACATATTAAAAAAATCGAAATGTATTTCATTAGACCTTATGCTTACTACACATTATATACATGAATTATATACAATTCATAATTTATTTTATTTACAGAGATGAATCATACATATATTACATTAAAAATTTATTACAGATTTTTTTCGAAATGTATATACATTGAATAGTTTAAATTTTAAATGAATAGTAAAAATCGAAATCCTATTAACCAAAGCAAAGACCTAGCTACGCTTGAGCTACGCCTAAAGCCCGCATTTAAAAAATAATTTCTAGACATTTTTCACGATAAAGACCCATCAATTTCACTGTAACGGATTTGCATCATTTTTTTAACACAGTCCTTATATGTTTCCCCAGGTCCCGGAGTAACACCAACAGATTTACTTCCCAAACCAGCTGACGCTGCCCTTCTTTCAGTTTGTATAATACTAGTCCTTCCTTGATTGCTTTTGCCAAGCCCCATCCCTTCTTGCCAACCCATTTTTTGGAGTAACTTACTACCAAGATTATCATTACCAATACCTGCCCTAGTAGGCTCTTCATAACTCACGACTGCTTCTCTACCTTTCATATATGTTTCCTTCAATTTGCTAGGCTGGGGTGCATCTGGCTCTCCATATTTCAACCTCCTTTCTTTCGCCCTGTCTCGGTATTGAATATTTTTACTTTGACTGTCATCAGAATCTGATAATCCACGAGATTTATACCATGCATTGAGATTTTGCTTGTGCAAATCAGAGAGCTGTTGGTGTTTGACAAGTGCATCTTTGCTGGGAAATTGACGTTTACAAAGTAAACAAGCCATTTTGGTCCAGTCAGTGAGGCTCTTGATGTCTAATTGGGACATATCCTCTTGTGATTCTTCTGGCTCACTATCACTTCCTTGGCCATAAGCAGCAACAAGACTTTCATGCTTAGCAGATGCTTTCATATCCATACCATTAGATAATATAGGGAGAACAAGATCTTTACGTTCTAAAACTGCATAACCAATGTCTGCAGCACCAGCAGCTTTCATAGATGAAACAGCTTGCTGAGCAGCAACAATATTTTGTTTAGCATTCTCCTTTTTCTGATTTAATGTTTTTGCCCACCTTTCCATATCCTTTGCTATCCTTTTGGCAACTTTCACTTTATCTTTTTCTTCTATTTTTTCTTTTGCTTTCTTGGCCTCATCATCTTTAGCCTCATCACTACTTATATTAGGAGGTGGAGGAGCTTGAAGAGCCTGAGAATTTGCACCGTCAGTTGGTGCTGGTAAGTAAGTTTTTTTTGAGGCATCCCAATACAAAAATTTACCTGATTTATTGTTGTAATAATACTGCGAATTGGCATCATAATACAAAGTAGTATAAGGATCATAATAATACCCAGAAGATTTATCATATTGATAAGAACTGACATCAGGAATAGGATAGGTTTTATCACCAGAACCATCAGGAGGTTCATTTAAGCTACCTTTTGTACTGGTTTTTTTATGGGCTGCAACAGCAGCTTGAGCACAAGCCAAACCTGCTGAATTATTAACTGGTAAAGAGATATTTGCTCCATCAGTGATTTGCTTTTTGTAATAGTCTTCATAGTAGGCTATATAAGCAGATTTCTCTTGAGGATTAGTTGCATAAAGATTGGCACTATATTCAGCAAGGCGAGGAACATCACTTAATTTGTATTGAGTTGTCTCCTGTTTTTGATGACTCCATTGGGCAGCTGCAACAGCAGCATTAGCTATTTGACCACTTATTGCAGCTGAAGAATGAAGTGTTAAAGGATCTAGTTTAGCATAAGAGATAATAGCTGTTCTACCATCAACTTGAGGACATGATGTCTGCAAAGCATTGTGTAAGTACATGGCATCCACTACATTATTCATTTCAAGGTAACAAACACCTCTAGAAGTATTTGTAGCAGGATCACGGCCTATTCGCACACTTCTAATGGGTAAAGATGACAATGATTTAATTGACTGTAATACACTTTCTTCTGTTGTCAAAGCATCTAATCCTCGTAAAAGAACAGTATTTGTTGGATGAGAACTGACTTCATCAGTGCCTTCCAATACTTCACCTTCTCTTCGAGGCAAATTACATTTGAAACAAGTATCTCTGCGCCTGAAATTATGAGCTTGACATTTGCAATACCAATCTGACATACGCTTATCCCTCCCGTAAGTATAAGGATCCTTCGGTAAGCTATACTGCAACAAGGCTCTGAAATGGTCTTTTAACATAAGTTCACCTTGTTTCATTTCAATCCATTTAGTTGCATCTTCAACTGACTTGAATTCAACAAAAGCAAATCCTCTTGAAGTGCCTGTATCTTTTCTTCTAACTAATCGGATGTCTCGACATTGAAGCTGAGATAAAACAATATCCTCTTGAATATCATGTTCTGTTATATGCTGAGCAAGACCTCGAATAATGATTGTTTTTTGTGGGGTTTGTTTTTTATATGCATACCTATCTTCAGCACGAAGAGAACTATCAGCATAGGGTCTTGAATAATCATAATCCCCATCAGATCTTCGATCATAACTGTTACTATTTTCTTCTTCACTAGAATATTTTCTTCCACCTTCTTCATCATCATCACCTCTTCCATACCTTCGGTCATATCTATCATGTCTGCTACCCGAACGATCATATTCATTCCAACGATCACCATCTCTATAACGCTTTGAATGATCTCGCCCTTCTTCATTATCTGGAGACCGCCTACGATCCCTACTTGTGCCTCTACTTCTATCCCTTGACCTTCTCTTTCTATCCCCGCGATCACTTCTGTCACCTCTATCACCTCTTTCCCCCCTTTCACTCCTATCTCTTTCCCTTTCCCTGTCACGGTCCCTCTCTCTTGACCTAGATCTATCCCGGGAAGTCCTATCTCTACCTTTATACCTGCTACCTCTATCATCAAGGAAATCATCAACAGATCTCCTCCAAGGATCTCTATCTCTATCCTGCCTAGACATCCACTCTCTGCTCCTAGCAATAAGATCATCCTCAGGAGATTTCTGGTTACTGTTGAAGTAGGGGCTACCAAAACCTCCGCTGCGGCCACCACCACTTCCATTGCCACCGTTGCCATTGTTGTTACCATTGCCAGTTCCATTTCCTCCTCCGCTGCCACTACTGCCTCCAGCACCAAAGAATGGGCTTTCTCCAAAATGCCTTCTGTCCATTCCTCGCTATTTGATCTTAATAATGAACAATATTCAAAACGAAAATTAGTAAAAAAAATAACATAATAAAATACATACCCAAAAGACGTAGAATTTTTCCACCCATCTAAATTAATTTAAACTAATTCAGAACAGTTCATTTTGAAATAGTAAACAAACAAAAGGTATTCAAAACCACAAAAAAAAAAAAAAAAAAACTAATTGTAGATAATTCAAACAATCCAAATTAATAAAACTTTTCTTAACTTTTTAATCATTCACTAAGAAAAACATAAAATAAAATTAGCACCAATATTACAGGAATAAAAAAAAAAATTGATGACTTAACCAAAATACTTTGTTTTTGAAAACATTTTACATATCAAAATGGTAAAAAAAAATATATATATATATAATAACAGTATATGAATAAGAGAAAAAATAAAAAAATAAAACGCGGGCTAAAATTTCCCAATAAGATTCTTACCGTATCAAGAGCAGCCTGACAGTATGACACACCAGATAGAATCTTTTCTGATAAACAGTGCAAACCCAACAACTTATTTCTTCTTGCTCTACCTTGTGCGTTCTGAAACAAATTATTCACCAAAAAAAACGATTTATCGAACAGTTCTCTAAATTTGAGCAGCAATCAACACGATAAATAACTCGCAACGAAAGATGTCCACAGCAGGAGAAATGTGGAAGATTTTGGTATAAGCATTCAAGTAAGAATAGTTATCAAAACATCAATTTACAAAAATATCTAAAACTATGAAGAATAACACTTGTATACATTGTATACTATAGAATAGATCTGTTCTATTCTATACTGTAACATGGGTCAAAATGAGGGTTTATAGGCCAAATTTGGAATTCACTAAACTGACTGAAGGCCTAAAACCCAATAAAGTAACTCAAGCTATAGTAATAGAAAGGATCTAGAAATGATCAAGAGATTTATTAATCATTTATATAATTTCAATTTTTTTTTATTAGCTAACAAATTAATCATACTGCTTGTTGCAGAAATTCTATGAATAAAAATGTCTTTGGCTGCCATGCAAATTTACATTAAGAAACTTGTAACATAAGCAAGTCAAAAGTTTATGTTCCCTGAAGAAAAACAATATCTTTTAATTCCACTTCATTGGTATGCAACTGATCAATAATTATTGTGAATTCTTGCTCAATAAAAATCACTATCTTCATTCTATAACTGTCATACAAAATAAATGGAAGACACACACACAATATGTAGTCATGGCATGTATTCAATGTCTTTTTAAGTCCAATTCTTCATAAAACTTTGCAAATAAAAATAAAGCACTATGAATCCATTCTTGAGATTACTTATAAAGTATAGATTTAATTATACTTAGGATAATAGGAAACTAGGTGTGAAAAATGGGAAATTTGATGTATGATAACATATAAAGAATTTTCCATGATAATTATTCTTACAAATAAAAGAATCTTTTTTATTTACAACAAGAAAGTGCTGCACTGAAAATATGGTGCACTGAATTAATTATTTTAAAAATTCCTATAGACAATTTTAGGAGTAAAATTTAAGGCTAAAAATAAATCAAGGTTGTTATTCATAGTTTGATACTCAAAATATCTCACAATCTCATAAAAATCTGGATCATTAGTTTTAATATATTGCACAGAAACCCTTCTTTTAGAAATTCTTAAAGTTTTATTAATATCAAATTCCTGTAAATATCAGGAAGTTGTCATTAAATTCAACAAAACATCGACCCTTCATATAAAGTTATCACATTACTAATTAAATCGCAATTACTAACAAAAAAATGAGGGAGGTACACACAATAACATATGGTCACTACGAGACCTCTGTAAACATGACAAACTTTAGGCATTAAAAAAATAGCTCTCTTCAATTCTAATTGTTGTATCATTACTGTAAAGTTGTATCATTACTTATGTAAATGCGTTAAAATAGAGAAACATAAAAAAATTAATCTAAATAAAAATTAGTAAACAATACAATAAAATTAAAAAAAAAAAAAACCTAACCCTAGATCGCTTGCCATCGTGCTTCCAGGCAATGTTTCAACCAGCAACTTTATATTATTTCTCATTGATTCTAAATGTTTGTCCTTATAATTTAGAAGAAAACATATTAAACTAGATTTCTAAAAATTAAGCATATTTCTATTTTTGCAATATTTTTATCTCAATTTGTGAACTTCAAAATTGCATATAAATTTATTTTACTTTTTTTTTTTTAGTTTGTTATCAACAACAAACTACATATTAAACGGAAAAAACAATAGCAAACAACCTGTTATATATCTGCCAATGTGCTATTTAACTTAAAAAAAGGTTGGTAATGTTTTGGAATAATTTATACATAAATGTACAAACTCACATAATGAAAGAATCTATTACATTCATAGAAAGAAAAATACTAATTTACATAAATAATTCCTCTCCAATTAAGTTTATTGAATATAGACGAGTATAAGAATATCTTATGCATCCCCAAAGACAGAAAAAACTCAAGACTGTTAAAAGTTTAAAACTGATCTCAAGCTAAACATAAAACAATTAACCCTCCTCCTTTACATTACTTAGTTTTAAAATTTTCTCAAGAACCTCAGAAATAATTTCATTTAAAGTCGATTCAAATTAATTAACCATAACAGCGAATAATTATTTTTAAGATCATCAATTCAGTGCACCTAATGAATGAACTTTTATTATCTATGGAAAATAACTTTATAAACAAGAATATTTATTATAGATGCATTTCAAAATTTAGAATCAGACAATACCTCAATCTTTTTAAGCAACGTCAGACAGTTCTTGATTATTGCTGACAAAGCTGACTGATAACGTCTATTCCATCTGAAATCGACAATATACAATCAAAAAAAAAAAGAACTATGAACATGAAATGCAAAACGAAATTTAACGATCACCAATCGAACAATGTTTATGTATAATGGATCGAGTCAGATAACACAAATTACATCTTTTAAAACTAAAAAAATATAATAAAAAGAAATATAAAAAATACTTAATTTATGTAAAAGTTAAACACTAAAAGCACTAAGTCCTCCATTATTAAAACAAACCCATCATGATTTTCTCCAACGTTGAAAGCAACAGTCTAATAAATTTTTTGAACACCACAGGCTGTTTGGGTGAACTTGGATTCATTATGTTTTTTATTGTTTTGTTTTTTTACTTTTATATTTTCCTTCATAAACAGAACAATCTGTCAAGGACCTTCAATATATAAATATAATTGATAATTTAACCTAAACCGAACATAATCATTAAGGCATAAATAGTTGTATAAATTCAGCAGTAGTATATCTTAAATATGCTTGAATCATAATTAATAATAAATAATTATAAAATTATGTTGGATCAAAATGTTTGTCATTGGATAGCTAATATAATAAATATGTTTAAGTTATATAACAGTAAAAAAGTTGACAAGTGGATAGCTAAATAATAATACTAAAAATAGTAATTTTAAATCCCGATCAATTTATGAGACAAACATACTACATTGTTAAAATGGAGTTAATAAATTCATTATTTAATAAATTGATGACCATGAAAATGCAGGTTCCTTTCGTAAACTAAACTAGAGTAGAGGACAGAAGACATATATATCGAAAGCATTAAATATACAGTAAACACATGTAAATTATATAGTTAGTGCTTAATTCTTTGCAATGCCAACATGACCAGCTGGTCCAGAGAAAAGTTGGGACTAACAAACATAGTGGAGTACCCTTCCAGTCCACTGTCTTGTCCTAGGAATATTTTGAACTGGTGCAATATTCTTTCTTGACATTCACCTGATTATTTAATACTAAATAGGGCCCAGAATACCAAAAATTGCCCATTCAATTATAGAGAGCAGTGGTTTTCTATTATTCATTTTTTGCTGTCAGTTGTAAAATTTGGTCCTGACGACCATGGATCTTTTTCTTAGTGTTATCTTGTGTTAGATACTTTAGTGATAAAAACATATTTTAATTTTTTTTCTTTAAATTGGACAAAAAAACTGTGGAGTGTTTTGAGAAGTACTTATCATTTCCAAGTATAGAAGTAGTTGTGAGCCCATTGCCATGATAACAGGCTGTTTATAAACATCCATTGTCTGTTATATGTAGTTTATAATTTATTCTTTTTGTGTGTCAACTTTTCCATTGTAAATATCTTTACAATTATGAACGTGTTGTCAATTAAATAGTATTTTCTAGTGATCAATATTCTTAACAAATGGCGACCAGGATAAAAACATTTAGGAAGTTATTAGTACCTACAAAGACTCTATCTTAATTAAAAATCCAGTCATCTCCTCAAGTTATCAATTAATTAGCCTCACATTAAATCCTCCAGGTATTTTTCTATTTTATCCAGCTCAACATGTTAAAAACTAATTCAAGATATCAAGTAACAACCTCGAAGAGGTTCAACTAGTAACCAAAAATGTTTAAGAACGAGATGATGTCATCTTTCTTAGGTAAGCTGCTACTATAATATAACAGTTATTTCTTCTTTGTAACTGAAATTTTGTCATTGCTACAATCATGGAACAGATGCCATTTTAGTCACCATCCTGTTATAGTTGTTACAAGATGAACTGTAACTAACCTCCATCGCATAGATGAATTTTCGTATAATCTCAGAGGATAAACATTTTTCTGTATGATAGATTTAGACAAGCCATATCTACACCTTAAAGTAGATGAAGAAGGACGAAAGATACATAAAATTTTGACACATAAAGGCACCAACAGAATGAATTGTCCCAGTTTCGGAATTAAAATGGCCCCATCTGAGTTCAATCGAATCCTGTTTCAGATCCTGCAAGGTCTTGCAAAGTTTGAAGAATGTATGCAACCCTCAAAGAATGTACCAGAAACTTCATTGTTTGTTTAAAACACTTCAAAGAGAATGTCATGCATCTGAAGCACTGATTACTTGGGCCATGTTATATTTTTCAACAAAAATTCAGTAATGCTCTAAAAAGGTCAAGTTGTCTCAGAGATACCTACCGAGTCATTAAGTTCTACAAGTAAGCGACTCCTGCGTGTTGAAGATCATCCAAGGGAAAGCTCCTTCACGCTACCTTTAATATTACTATTTTCATTAATTTTTATTCAAGAGGAGGGAGAGTTGTGAATCCGTTACCATAGTTACAGGTTGTTCATAAACTTCCATCGACAGTCATATGTAGCGTATTATTCCTTTTTAGTGTGTCAACTTTTCCGTTGTAAATATGTTTATAATTCTGAATGTGATGTCCAT